ACTCACTGTACGGACATCTCATCTCATTCTCTTGACAACTGCACAACATGATTATTGCCTAATTTTGAAGATAAGAAACTGAGTGCCAGGCACTGTGGCTCACACTTTATAATTCCAGCACCTTGGGAGGCCAAGGCACGTGGATCACCTGAGGTCAGGAGTTCAAGACCAGCCTAGTCAACATGGTGAAACCCTGTCTCTACTAAAAATACAAAAATTAGCTGGGGATGGTGGCACATGCCTATAATCCCAGCTATTCGGGAGGCTGAGGCAGGAGAATCGCTTGAACCTGGGAGGTGGAGGTTGCAGTGAGCCGAGATTGTGCCACTGAACTCGTTTGGGCAGAAGAGCGAAACTCTGTCTCCAAAAAAACAGAAAAGAGAAAGAAACTAAGGCATGGAATGTTCCTTCTATGTGCTAGGTATTGTCCTAGATCTAGGCACTTTGTTTACATGAGATCTCTTTTAAATCTCCCTATGCTGGCCTAGTCAACATCAAAATGCTGGGATTACAGGCGTAAGCCACGTGCCCAGCTACACTTTTTAATTGTACTGCACTGTCCCTTTTTTGGGCAGGAAGTGCTGGGAAGGGCTTTGCCAGATTTATCAAAACAAAACCAAAAAGCTAGGATGACCAGTTAAATTTTAATTTAAGATAATGCATTTTTTGAGTGTTATACTGATGTCCCAAATATTGCATGGGATATACTTGAATTAAAAATTATTCATTGTTTATCTGAAATTCAAGTTTAACTGAATGTTCCGTAATGTATCTGGCAACCCTAATTCTTCTTTCTCCTGCTTCCAGCTACCAGCTAGTTCTGCCCACAGCTTGCTCTTTAAAGGCTGGGCGCGGTGGCCCACGCCTGTAATCCCAGCACTTTGGGAGGCCGAGGCGGGCAGATCACGAGGTCAGGAGATCGAGACAATCCTGGCTAACATGATGAAACTCCATCTCTAGTAAAAATACAAAAAAACCCCAAAAGTTAGCCGGTGTGGTGGCGGGCGCCTGTAGTCCCAGCTACTAGTGAGGCTGAGGCGGGAGAATGGCATGAACCCGGGAGGTGGAGCTTGCAGTGAGCTGAGATTGTACCACTGCACTGCAGGCTGGGCAACAGAGTGAAACTCCGTCTAAAAAAAAAAAAAAAAAAATTAGCTAGACATGGTGGTACATGCCTCTAGTCTCAGCTACTTGGGACGCTGGGTTGGGAGGATGGCTTGAGTCCAGGAGGTTGAGGCTGCAGTGAGTTGTGACAGTGCCACTGCACTCCAGCCTGGGTGACAGAGTGAAATCTGTCTCAAAAACACAAAACATACACACACGCACAAATGGTGAGGCCCTGTGGGACCAGCCGTGCTGCTGTGTCTCTAGCCTGATGAAGGGACAATGAACTCTTCTGCTCCAGAGGGCAGAGCCCGGGACAGCTGCCAACTCTGCACCTTCCATGTAACACTGGGCAGGTCTGTTCCCTCTCGGAACCCTCTGTAAATGGAAGATCCAGTATTAGGTACTATGTAACTGCAAGTCTCCCTGCAGGCCCTAACTTTGCTAATTATTTCTTCTCCCTTTTTCCTGTCTGTCGGGCTGGACCTGGCCAAGGATGAAACCCAGTCTATGGTTGTGCTGTGTGAGCAGAGGACATGCAACACCTGGGGCAGGGAACCCAGGGGAGCAGTGCTTGTCAGAGGCTGAGGGGAGGAGGCTGGGCAGAAGGAGCACTCAGAGGCTGGGGGCTGAGGCTGCTGGGAAATGAGCCACTGACAGATTTTTTTTTTTTTTGCGATGGAGTTTTGCTCTTGTTGCCCAAGCTGGAGTGCAATGGTGCGACCTCAGCTCACTGCAACCTCCGACTCCTGGGTTCAAACAATTCTTCTGCCTCAGCCTCCCAGGCAGCTGGGATTACAGATGCAAGCCACCACGCCCGGCTAATTTTGTATTTTTAGTAGAGACAGGGTTTCACCATGTTGGTCAGGCTGGTCTTGAACTCCTGACTTCAGGAGATCTACCTACCTTAGCCTCTGAAAGTGCTGGGATTACAGGCGTGATCCGGCCCTGCCATTGACTGTTTTTATTCTCCAGAGGCGGCAGCTTGCTGAGCATTCAGACCCAGGCTCCCAGCCCCACCTGCACTGAAAGGCTCTGTGATTTCAGGCAAGTTCCTGAACTGGGGCAAGTGCCTCAATTTCCTCCGCTGCAAAGGGGGACTAATGCTTACCATGATGTATCTAAAGTGCTCGGTACATAGGAGGGGCTTAATGAAGGGCTATTATTGCTATTGTTGGTATCCTATTTTATACATATATCCTTCTGGAAAAAACCTCTTGAAGAAAGCTAACCCCTGAAAGGACAAACACATTTCAGGCCCTCTCTGAGCTTCGGCAAAGAACACAACACATTCCAGGCTGCCTTCGTTCCAGCTAAATTTTATTTGTCGAATTTTTGACAGACGTCTAAATTATACATTGAGTTTTCCACATGACCAAACACCACGTCTCTTCCTTTGATTATCATTTTCAAAAGGGATTATAAAAAAAGAACCTTTTGATGGATCAGACTGAACCCTGAAACCACATGGAGTGCAGAGCTAAAAATAAAAGGAAGTAAGAACTGGTCCCCGAGAAGGAAAGGAAAGGGAAATCAAAGCAAACTCGGACGGGAATGGAGAGACGAGTCCTGGTGAGGGTGACATGGTGTCACCCTCCGGGCCAGGCCGGATAAGGAGCGGCCAGCAGTGAGGGTGGGGCACAGAGTGGCACAAAAATAGCCACTACTTTAGTCCAGAGGGGAATAAAGAAATTTGTCAAAAGCCAGGAGAGAGAAGTGGAGACGGAGGGAGGGAGGAAGGAAGCGGGCAGGACCGTGTCCTCCCAGCAGCCGTGGGAGCTTCGGACTCCTTTAACCCTGGCACATTTCTAACCGCCGGCATAATCGCTGACTTTCAGCTGTGCACCGACATGTTCCCCGGCTCAGCCCACATCAATGACACCCTTGTTTCCATAGTAACCAAGGGAGAGTGAAGGGGAAAGGGTGTGTTGCACTGGGTGCAGGGAATCCAGCCAAAAGCAGCCACACGGGGTAGGTCGGGAGGAGGGGAGGACTCCAGTTTTTCCCACAGCTGGCTTGAGCACATATCAGGAGCGCACCCCCAGGCCTCGCCCGCCCTCCGGCCTCCAGCCCTCTCCCCCGCACATTCAGATGCAATTGTGTGCAGGGCTAAAGTCTCGCTAAGACTCACTGGGGACGGGAGGAGGAGAAAAGGGGTCTCCCCTTTCCAGCTTCAAATTCTGTCTTCTGGTCAGGGGGCAGGAGTGGGCAGGGGGCAGGAGTGGGCAGGGGGCAGGAGTGGGCAGGGGGCAGCAGTGGGCAGGGAAGAGGCAAGAGGGCTTTAAAAAGCATTTTGTTTTTAAATGGGAGCTTTCAAACTCTGCCTTTTTCAGGCTTCTCTCATCTACCCCAGAGCCCCAGGAGGGTTCAAAAGGGCTCAAAGGGAAGATGAAAGTGTGTGACATCTGCAGTGTCTCTGTGTCTCTGCAGCTGAGGAGCAAATCGGAACATTTACAGAGGCCGTTATCAGAGGAGTGGCTTCTGCCTGCTAGCAGAGGCCTTGGGAGGGCTCTTTAAAACAGTCCCCTAAGTTGGTGGTAAAATAACAAAAATATTTTACAGACCCTCCACCGCCAGAGTCAAAGTTCCATAGTGCAGTGTTCCAAAATTGCAGACCTCCAAGCAGGCATTTTGCCCCTCAGATAACTTGTCCCTGATGAACTATTCGGAAGAAAAAACAATTTTCAAGTGCTAGAGCCACATTTGCAGCCTGGTAGAAGGGGGATTTCTGATTTCTTATAATTCTGTGTTACCTCTGTTCAAAGTAGGAGAGGAGCTTGGCTGAGCCAGAGAAGCCAGTGGAGGAGGTTGCAGAGAGCAGCTAGCTCTGCGGTTTAAAAAAAACCCTCACTTTCTTTTGTTTTGCAAGTCCTTACAGGTCTGTCCACAGCAACTCCAGGGCACCTTTTCACGGCTGGCTTTGTTAATGACTTTCACGCCAGACCGCTTTTGAAGCTGGCTATGCCTCAGTCTCTGCTGCATACTCTTAGCCAGAAAAAGCTGGGTACCGAGGGCCAGGGGCTGCAGTGGCCCCTTCAGTCTGCTCACATGCCCTGATGGGCTTGGGAAGGGCCGCCTCCCAGGATGAGAAGGCAGCTGGCCCCCAGGGACCCACCAGTCACTGGACAGTCTCTTATTCATTCTCTGAAAACCCCTGAGCTCAGGCACCAGAACAGAGTTTAATTCAGCAGCCGGGCAATGCTCTGGCCTGTTTCCCCATGTTTGAAGCTGAGGATTTCTGAGGCTCAGGGAAACGAGCTCGTTTTGCAATGAGGGGCAGGAGAAATGTTCTGCTATTCCTCTCCAATCAACAGAGGACAGACATTCTGCTGCAGAGAGGCAGAGGAGCCCAGCAGCTGGGGTGCCTCTGGCTTCCCTGTACACGACCCCTGCAGTCACACATACACCCATGTCCTTCCCAGCAGCAAACCCTCTCCACCCAGGAGCATCCCACACCACCAAGTTGCCAGCACTGTAAAAATTGATCTCTCTAAAAATCGATCTGCCTGGCTTTTCTCAGTGGAGCAGGTTCATGGTAAAGCTGCATTTATTTCTAAAATCTGATAGCAGCAGCCTATTGTGATCGTTTAAACACAGAATTCTTTGAGCTTTAGAAATCCCATCTATAGGATGGCCACAGAGAAGCCAGCTAATCTCAGAGTCGGCTGCTCACTGCTCCACTGAGCTGGAGAAAGCCTGTTTACGCTAGCCTGAGCCCTCGATGTGAGAGCTTTTTAAGGACCTTGTAATTTTTCTGGAATTAAACCTCCCACCTCTCCTTACATTCCAGATGTCATTACAGTCAAAAGTCATAAGAATTTGCTTCTCTGTGTGGCTGGCTGGGGCGGGGGCGGGGCAGGGGTGGGTGGGATGGGGTATGTTTCTGTAGTGACTTGTCTGCAGGAAAGGTTTTTTTTTTTTTTCTTTTTTTTTCTGTCCAAAGAGTGAGGATTACATACGTAGTCTCTGACCTGTGAGACGATGGGATAGTTTAATTATCTGCCTTTTCTCCCCCCACCCCCACCCAGCAGCTTCCTGCCGGACAGACTGAAGCCTGGCTGGGCTGGTGATGGTAAAAATCACTGACAGCAGCAGCAAACACTGTCTGTGGTTTCAAAACCATGGAGGGAATGCAAGGGACGGGTCAGTAAATAAATGAACTCAGCAAAGCTGCTTCTTCCTCTTTTTCTTTTTTTCGAGAGGAAAAAAAAGCCCACTGGAATTGTCTAAACTGCAATGCAATCTCTTGCTCATTTAAAAGATCTCATTTTCTAATCATGTGCTTTGAGACATTTAATACTATTTCAATTATGCAGAGGAAATAATATAATTCCTTTATTTGAAAAATGATACTGAACCTCAGAGATCAGTTAAATCTACTGCTGGAATGGGGATTCTTTCTAAACTGTGTTGTTCCCTCTCTTCAAACAGCTGTAGCTGTACACAGATGGAAAAACATTTGGTCAGAAAGCAGCAAATTAGTGTTTTTCAGGACCGAATTCGGCTCCCGCAGCTCCTGCGTCTCCATTCGTCTAGATTTTATTTCTTCTTTGCATTGACATTTTTGCAGACCCAGTTCATGCCATCCTTTGAGGGAAATGGGCAGAGAAAGGCAGTGTTAGTTGTAAGAAAAGTGCCACACGCTCCAGCCTGGAGGGATGGGCGGGGGGGTCCCAGGCCCTCCCTCCCAGACCGCCAGCTTTACGGAGTTTGCTTGGTTCAGGGGCCCACCTCGGTGACCAAGGACAGTGACCTCCCAGGAGGAGGAGGAGGAGGGAGGTCTCTGAAAGCACAAGAGGGAGATGGGAGGGGGAATGCCCAGCGCCTGAACTTGAGATGGGTCCTCAGGAACTCCCTCTGAAAAAATAAACACATCTGCCTGCATCCAAAGCCTGACTGAGGAGCTATCAGGAACGATTCCAGCCATTTTTGGCTTTTTCTAAAAGCTGACCTTTGCTAGGGCATTAAATTCAATAAGCCACCCTTCTGGTGCCCCAGTGTGTTTACAGTGTGACAGTGTACACTTGGGTTAAATTAAATTTCTTTTTGGAAAAACAAACCCACTGCAGTGAGTGTTGAGAGTCACACACCAGGGCGATGTGCATTTACTTCTCTTCCTGCAGCACTTCAGATAGGTTTAAAAGGGTCTGGCCTGCTTCTTATAGCTTTAAGCACCAGCATCCAGAGGGACTGGGGAGAAGGTTCCCTTAAAGGCACAATGACCTTGAAGGCGCCCTCTCTTAGAAGGCTGCAGAGGGACCCAGGTAAAAACCACACAATGCCTACAGCCACCTGGCAGGCAGCACAATTCCTATGGATGCCAGGCCTGTCAGAGGTGAACTCCTTCCCAACCCCCTTTGGAGCTAGCCCTGTACACTGCCCTTCCCTAGAGTCTCCCCAACCTTCAGGAGTGTGTAGAGTTTCCTCAGAAGCCCAGAACAAAATCCAAGGCAGCTGCTGCCATGAGTCCTTCCCCTTGCATCCGTAACAGAGGCTCACAGAGGTCCCAGCTACATCTGCACACATCAGCCATACTGGACACGCCACCGAGTCCCACATTTCCTGTGGCCATGGATCTAGCTGCTGAACCTGAACAGCTGAGACAGCTTACAGTAATAAATATCAGCTGACACCCTTGGCCATTCGGAACATTAATCCCATAAACAATACATCACTGCAAAACAACCAGCAGGCATCCTCTCCCCCAGCTCATCTGACCGTCACCTGAATTTACAGTGATTACAACTCCGCCAGTTGCTGTCAGTGCACTTGGGCAGCAGAACCAGATAATCTGACGGCTGTCCCAGAGCCGACCTCTGACCTTTGCCAAGATGAGGCCGCGGTGCAGAAAGCCCGAAGGTGGACAGCACCTGGCGGCGCAGGGGGAAGGGCAGAGGAATGCTGAGGTGGGAGAAAGGGGGAATCCAAACGCATCTCTAATTACAACGGGGTCAGCTACTAACTCTGAGAAGCTAAGGGCAATTTTAAGACCATTTTATGAAAAGGATTAATTTAAAGAGAAGCATGTTTAATTTTAGTAGCTAATTGGTTTCCAGGAAAAAAAAAGATCACCTGCCAAGAGACAAAAAGATTTTACAAATAAAAGAGGGATGAATAAGATACGCATCTTCTCTCGCCTGGGAAGCTGAATAGATGGGCACTTACACGGCACTTTCCACCTTCAGGGGCTCGCACAAGCACTCCAAGGTGGGCACCTCTCCTCTATGGAGGCTCGCAATCAAACCATCTTCTCAGAGAAATCAAGGACAGTGTGCCCACACTATGTGAACAGCGCTTTGCCTTTTTCTTGCTTTATGGCTGATTAAGGAGAGATTATTGCATGTAACTGAACATGAATGCAGGCAGAGAGATAGGAAAAATATTTACTCAGCTGCAGGAGCCCAAAGCAGAAGGTGGAGGGTGCGGGGTGGTTTTATACCGGGTCTCTGTTATGGAGGCAAAGGAGGGTTCAAACGGCAGAGCCCTGCTGAGGGGCAGTGTCTGGTGTCTCCAGATGCCTGTGAGGACCAGCCGTGGTGAAGTCCTTCCAGCCACTGTCCTGCCAACAGAGGGCGCGTGGAGGCCAGTCCCTGCCAGCTGACCCCCAGCCTGGGCCCCTGCGGCTGCCGCTGCCGCTGCAACCCTGAGTGTGGGAAGCACAGGGAGTGTAAACAGAGGCCCCTCTAATCTGAAGCGGCTAGGGCTTGGGGAGTGGCATCTTTCTTGTGCTAGCCAGAAGAGAACTGGGCTGGAAGTGGGAGGGGAGGGAAGGGGAGGCATTGGCCAACAGTGGTACCTCCTCAATCACGTGGCCATGGATCTAGCTGGGGCAAGCTTTGCCAATCACATCGGGGCAAAAGCTTTGTCAAGCTGCCTCCTGGAAAGGAAAGGCAATGGTGGTGCTCAAGCTCGCCCAGGGGAGGCTCCCATCAGACTTGCTGGAGGTTATATTCCCAGAACCTAACATGATGTCTAGCCCACAGCCCACTTAATTCACATCTTTTAAGTCAATCCTTGTAGAAGCCTATGAAGTAGGTGCTAGTGTTATTTCTCTATCACAGCTGAGGAGATGAAGGCACAGGACAGAGCAGGGCAAGGGCAAGCTGTGGTGCCCAGCATGGTGCTCCAAAGCTGCTTACCAGTTCTCCATGGATGTGGGTACCTGCCAGGTGAAGGGCTCTGCCCCAAGCTTAGAGAGGAGCTGGGAAGCACCCTGAAGACAGGAAAGGGAGGAATTCTAGTTTTATCCTCCTCATGACTTCCGCTGAACGCAGGGGCCTGAGACTGGAGTAGCCCCAGCCAAGCCTCCCTGTAGCTCTGATAGTGCCAGAGGCTGCTATGGGCCGTTCAGCTCTCAAGATCCCTGGGCTGTGGGGATCTGTGTGTGCAGAGGCCTGGCTATCTACCTGGCTGCACAATCCTCACATATTAACCATCCACCCAGACCACCACCTCCAGTGGAAATGCTACATTTAGGGACAACATACTTGCAAGAGGAGGAACCTTCTGCTTCTCATGTTTAAATAAATGTTCCACACTACTCTTGCTTTCATCTGGCAAGGAAGGTTTTTTGTTTGTTTGTTTTGAGACAGAGTCTTGCTCTGTCGCCCAGGCTGGAGTGCAGTGGCATAATCAAAGCTCACTGCAAGCTCTGCCTCCCGGGTTCACGCCATTCTGCCTCAGCCTCCCGAGTAGCTGGGACTACAGGCGCCCACCACCATGCCTGACTAATTTATTTGTAATTTTAGTAGAGACAGGGTTTCACCGTGTTAGCCAGGATCATCTCAATCTCCTGACCTCATGATCTGCCCACTTTGGTCTCCCAAAGTGCTGGGATTACAAGCGTGAGTCACGGTGCCCAGCTTTTTTTTTTTTTTTTTTTTTTTAAACAGACAACTGAGAAAAGGTGATCATTTACTTGAAGTAGGTTACTGCTCTGCTTCTAAAGAAGGAAGTGAACTCATAGGTTTGTTTAATGGTTGAACTTTTATTGTTAAAAACTGATCTGACCAATTTTCTGCACATTTGATCTTCATTATGGGGATGATAATCTTACGGTATGAATAGTCCTCCCTTCCTTCCTTCCCCGGACCCTCCCCTGACCAATCTTGCTGAAACTGAATTTGAATTGACTACCTTCAGTTCAATAACAGAGACTAAAGAGAGACATGGAATTTCAAATACTGAGCTTTGTTTGGCCTCCTAGAGAGGAAATACAGTTCCCAATGTCACAGTATTATTCTCTCCTATAACCACTGGGAGAAACAGCAGGCCGCCCCTAAGCATACGGGGGAAACTCACTCCTCCCAGAGCTCTGCATCCCAGCAGTTAAGGTGCACTGCTTCTTTCCAAGGGAAGAGTGGTCTCTGACTACGCTGCTCTCTTAAATTTGATCTCTGTACATTGCATCCATCACCTCTCAGTAGTTGGAAGGAAGCGGTGGCAGCCATGGCTGGGTGGGCCTGGTTTTTAGAGCCATGCTGGTTACGTAGTCACAGCAGTAATTGCTTTAAGATGACGAGGTGCTCGGATCCTTGCTGAGCAATGCAGCCTACCCCATTGTGCCATCAGGCCCCCACGGTCAAGGAGCAGTTGGATGCTGCGTACATCAAATATGGCTCGCTGTTTTTTTTTTCTGGTGACAAAAGGCATTGCACCAGAGAGGTAGCGAAATCGAATGTCCTGAGACTGCTTTCTTAGTCTCCAGAAAGGTTTGAAAATTTAAAAATAAACCTGAGGTCTGACTCACAGGTAATAAGCAGTTCCACATATACCTGGAGTCAATAACAACTGATGCCAGGCCTAGAAAAAAGTGGTAAATGTCGTTTTTCAAAATATTGGGGCCAGGTGTGGTGGCTCACACCTGTAGTCCCAGCACTTTGGGAGGCCGAGGCAGGCGGATCACCTGAGGTCAGGAGTTCGACACCAGCCTGGCCAACATGGTGAAAACTCGTTGCTACTAAAAAAAAAAAAAATACAAAAAATTAGCCAGGCGTGGTGGCGGGCGTCTGTAATCCCAGCTACTCAGGAGGCTGAGGCAGGAGAATCACTTGAACCCAGAAGGTGGAGGTTGCAGTGAGCCAAGGTTGTGCCATTGCACTCTAGCCTGGGCAAGAAGAGCGAAACTCCATCTCCAAAAAAAAAAAAAAAAAAAAAAAAAAATTAAAATTCTGTGGCATATTAGGGAGAAGTCCTCCAAATCAAGGAAAATGAAGCAAAACCAAGAAATGGGAGAGTGAGCATTTAGTGTTCCTCCGGAGGCTGACTCAGGGATGGATTACAGCTCGGTGCTTGGACTACTCATGGCCCCTTCTGTGAACACAAGGCAGCTGAAAGCCTATGTGACCTGCTCATGGCTCCTGTCTTCAGGAGGAGGAGAGGGACGTAGGGCAGACATTACAAGAAAAGGTGAGCATGAGGGGGTGGCCTGGAGAGCAACACCCAGGGCACGATCTGCTGGCTCAAGGCTATGGGAGGAGGCAAGTCTCTGTGGTGACCATGGCTAGAGGTCAGGTTAAAACTTCGGATCTCTGCTTTAAGAGGAAATTCAAAGTCAGTATCATTTTAATTACACACCACACACACACATGCACACTCGCAGTATTTTAGAGAGAAACTGTCTTCAAATGCCTGAAACTGTAACAGCAGGAAGAGCTGTGGTTTGGGGTTCAAATTCAGGTCTGCGGGTGGAGGAGGGATGGATTTCTCGATACCTTTCTCTGGCTCTAAGCCAGATCCTTTGTTCACTATTTTCTAGACACCAAAGGGGGAAAAAAAAAGATTGAGAGTCCCAGTGTGAATATTTCATCCTAGGAGGGGCCCTGGCAACCTGGGCCTGACCTCGAGGGCGCAGAGTGACACTTCCTCCATGTTGATAATGGAGTCTAGCTGAGGAAGGTTTTGGTTCTCCCTCCCAGATATGTTTCAGTTTCTCCTCTTTCCGCTTTCATCCACTTGACATAACTGGGTCTCTCCTCATCACTCCCCTGGACAGTGGGCCTCCTGGCAGGGCAGAGTTTCTGAGATTGAGGATCTCCTTCCACTTCTCGTGCCCTTTACCTACTCTCTGCTCCTGATGGTCTCCCACGAAAACCTGCTTTAATTATACGATGGGCTGGTTTCGCAGTCAGCGCCAATCAGGAAAAGAAACCCCGGGTCCATCCTCTCTCACAAGTCAGTTTCCACACCTGAAGCAGGGGCTGGTGAACAACACGTGGTATTTCCCACCCCTGTAACGGCTTCGTATGTGCTGCCTTTAGGACACCAGGTGGAAAGGGACCCTGAAACCCATCCCAGGAATCACTAACTTTCTTTTCTTCTTTTTTCTTTTTTTTTTTTTTTTTTGAGGTGGAGTCTCGCTCTGTCGCCCAGGCTAGAGTGCAGTGGCGCGATCTCGGCTCACTGCAAGCTCCGCCTCCTGGGTTCACACCATTCTCCTGCGTCAGCCTCCTGAGTAGCTGGGAATACAGGTGCCTGCCACCTCACCCGGCTAATTTTTTTGTATTTTTAGTAGAGACGGGGTTTCACCGTGTTAGCCAGGATGGTCTCGATCTCCTGACCTCGTGTTCTGCCCGCCTCGGCCTCCCAAAGTGTTGGGATTACAGGCATGAGCCGCCGCGCCCAGCCGGAATCACTAACTTTCATAGTCCCAAATCGTGTGTTTAAGCTACTCCACTAATGAGAAGTGATGTACCTGCCCTACTTCATCCACAGAGGGGTGTGGCTCGCCATCTAGCAGCTCCGTGGCTGTTTCCCTAACTCGCCCCCGTGAGGCTATTATTTAGCAGTACAAGACAGGTCTCTCAAATATGTTTTGATTAAACACGTACAATGTATGTGTCTGTCTTTAAACACTTGAAACTGCAACAGAAATTCCGGTCTTTTTGGTTATTTTTAAACCTTTGTATATTTTCTTTCAGAGTCGTTAGAATCAGATGTCACCTGATTTGCCTATTTAGAGCCTAATCATTTGGGCCAGCTTTTGGGGAGGTGGGGTGGGATGAGGAGGAAAAAAAATAGGAATTTAGGGCATTTCAGTAATTATTGCACAGTTTTCATGTTTGAAAGTGAACCTCAAACCATTAGATCTTAATGATATTTTTCTAGTAAAGTCTTTCAATTTTAGAATATTTTTAGCCCTAATAAATAAAAATCACTAAAGGCCTGTACTTCAACTAAGCAATGCTGGAAAGGAATTCCACTTAAGTGACTCTTTTTAAGGCAAAAACCAGGAAGCTGGTGTGTGGACAAGAGCTTGGGTCGGAGGCACCACCTAAGGGAGGCACATGGTCAACCAGTGGCTCACAATGAGAAGCATTTCCACAGCCAAACTCCACGACCTTTCTCTGGTCCCCAAAGGTTACCACGAAAGGACAATAGACAGCAGATTCCCTTCTTAATTAACATTTTTATTAAATAACCCATTTCAAATAATGGTTAAATTCTCTAAATTTATATCATTCTATTAACCATAATCTAATCTCATTAACCTTGAAATCCCAGTCTTAACTACCCAATTCTATACACCATGGTACTATCTACTAAACTAATTAAGTGACCTTCAAACTATTTCTCCTCCATACAAAAATCATTTTTTATTTTTTACTCATAGTTTTTTGTTGGATCTCTCTTGATATCATTTCCCGTGAACTTGGTTGCTGAACGCCCCAATCTGGGAAGAACTTTCTTATCAAAATCAAATCATATATAATAATCTCACATTACTCACTCAAACTGGTTTATTTTGCAGCACTCCCCTGCCTGTCCCCAACTCCACCCTCTAACTGCCTAGTAGCTTGCTGCCTCTTTTGTGGCCTAAAGATCCTGTGAAGGGCACTGAGTGTCTACAGTGGTTACACAGCCAGGAGCATGGAGCTCTATCCTTTAATCTCCACCTGATGGGAGTTGGGGGAGGTCGGGGGGTTGGGAAGAAAATGACAGGAGCTCCCTCTCTACCTCCAGGCTTCTCTGAAGCAGTGTCCTTGACTTTAAATGCCACGGCTCTAAATACTGATTCTAGATTACTCTAGTCTTCCTTTTTCACATCCCTAAGGCTGGCGGAAGATACAAGAGCCTTACTGTTAATTCTTGCTTTGCTTTTTCTTCAACACTCTGGTCAAGCAAAAGAAAGATTCCAGAGTTGTACTCGCACTTTCTTACAAGTATGCACACAAACTGTATTGCTTTTCTTCAGCCCCACCTTCATAATAGCCCCCAACCTCAAGATGCTCTCAGCTTTCTAAATTTGTGTTCTAAACCCTTCAGACAGGCTCATGCTGAAGTGGTTTGCAGAAACACAAGAAAATTACTATCTTTTCATGGGTCTCATCTTCATCAACATAACCTTAGGCCTTATGACTTCCATCCTATGTGCAATCAGAGTAAAACATGTTAGACAAATTTTGATTGTTTGTTTATTTTTATTTATTTATTTATTTTGAGACACAGTCATGCTGTCGCCCAGGCTGGAGTGCAGTAGTGCGATCTTGATCTCGGCTCACTGCAACCTCCATCTCCCAGGTTCAAGCGATTCTCCTGCCTCAGCCTCCCGACTAACTGGGATTACAGGTGTGCACCACCATGCCCAGCTGATTTTTTTTTGTATTTTTAGTAGAGACACGGTTTTGCCATGTTGGCCAGACTGATCTTGAACCCCTGACCTCAGGTGATCCACCCGCCTCGGCCTCCCACCCTGCCCAGCCCTGGCTGCTTTTTAAAACATCAAGGCTGAGTGCGGTGGCTCATGCCTGTAATCCCAGCACTTTGGGAGGCTGAGGCAGGCAGATCACTTGGGGTCAGGAATTCAAGACCAGCCTGGCCAACATGGCGAAATCCTGTTTTTACTAAAAATATAAAAAATTAGGTGGGTGTGGTGGTGCATGCCTGTAATCCCAGCTACTTGCAAGGCTAAGGCAGAAGAATCGCTTGAAGCCGGGAGGAGGACGTTGCAGTGAGCCGAGATTGTGCCACCGCACTCCAACCTGGGCAATGAGAATGAAACTCTGTCTCAAAAAAAAAAAAAAAAAAAAAAAATTAGGGGGAGCCTGCTTTTCCAGTACACAGTTCCTTAGTACAAAGCAGGGGCTTTCTGTCAGCAGAAGCCTCCTAGTGGGAAAACAACCTGAAGTAGCAGGAAACAGACACCAACCCTAGGGCCGGGGGAGATAACCAACAGAAGAAACAAAAACACTTCTAGGATGACTAGGACGTGTATGATTATTGGTGGCTATCACCTTGGAAGTACAGGCAGTTAGCATCCGTAATATTAGACACAACACAAAGTCCCAATCCAATCAATCATCAAAGAATCCTAGAGTTAGAAACAATCCTCAGTCTTCTGTTCTCACATCCCTCCCAATGGGGATGCTTGCTACACATGTGGGGTGGCTTACCTGGGGCGCTCTTGGAGCATCTCATGATTTCTGATTGGTTGCTAAGCAGAAAAGAACCAAATTCCTCCATGCCCTTCCTGTCTTGGAATGGCTCATCTGCCCATCAAGATCAGCCCAACCAATGAGACGGACCACCTTAGTTAGCTGTCATGTTGCCAGGTGGCCAAGGCTTCCTGTAATCTTACCTGAACACCCTCTCCTGTGACAGCTGAGCAAGACTGGATCTGCCACACTCGGTCACGGATAGTATGCAGGTTCAGTCCTTCTGCAATTTCAGAGGCAGGAGCTGCTGTGAGCAAATCCTGCTTATTAGCAAAGATGAGCACTGGCACACAATTTAGTTTTTCTTCCTCCAATAATTCTGCTAGTTCCTGGATTTTGAGAAGGGAGAGGGAGGGAAGGTTAAAATCTATAAATCTATGATATATAACCATATACTACCTTTTTCTCTTTTTCCTTTTTTTTTTTTTTTTTTTTTTTTTGAGACAGAGTCTTGCTTTGTCACCCAGGCTGGAGTGCAGTGGCATGATCTCGGCTCACTGCAACCTTCGCCTCCCAGGTTCAAGTGATTCTCCTGCCTCAGCCTCCTGAGTAGCTGGGACTACAGGCATGTACCACCACACCCAGCTAACTTTTGTATTTTTAGTAGAGACAGGGTTTTGCCATGTTGGGCAGGCTGGTCTAGGACTGCACACCTCAGGTGATCCACCTGCCTCTGCCTCCCAAAGTGCTGGGATTACAGGCGTGAGCCACCAAACCCGGCTAACCATGTACTTCTAATCAGAAAAAACATAACAGTTAAGCTGATCAGCTAGCAACTTTCAAGAATAGTGACTCTCAAACTTTTTTATTTCTTTTCTTTTTTTTTTTTTGAGACAGGGTCTTGCTCTGTCGCCCAGGCTGGAGTGCAGTGGCGCAATCCAGACTCACTGCAACCTCCACCTCCTGGGTTCAAGCAATTCTCATGCCTCAGCCTCCTGAGTAGCTGGGATTGCAGGTGCACACCACCATGCCCAGCTAATTTCTGTATTTTTGGTAGAGATGGGGGTTTCACCATGTTGGTCAGGCTGGTTTTGAACTCCTGGCCTCAAGTGATCTACCTGCCTTGGCCTCCCAAAGTGCTGGGATTACAGGTGTGAGCCACCGTGCCCAGTCTGATTATCAAACTTGAACCTGTATAAGATTCCCCTGGCAGATTCCTAGGCCCAATCCAGAGATGCTGACTTTGGAATCTACATTTTTAACAAACTCCTGAAGTGATTCTGTTATAGATGATTCACAGACCAAATTTTTTTTTTTTTTTTTTTTTTTTTTTTGAGACAATATCTCACTCTGTCACCCAGGCTGGAGTGTAGTGGCGCGATCACAGCTTACTGCAGGCTCAGCCTCCTGGGCTCAAGTGATGCTTTCAACTTAGCCTCCTGATCAGCTAGCTGGGACCTAAGGTGATCGCCACCATGCCCAGCTAATTAAAAACATTTTTTTTGGCCGGGCGTGGTGGCTCACCTATGTAATCACAGCATTTTGGGAGGCTGAGGTGGGCGGATCACCTGAGGTCAGGAGTTCGAGATCAGTCTGACCAATATGGTGAAACCCTGTCTCTACTAAAAATTCAAAAATTAGCCACACATGGTGGCGGGCACCTGTAGTCCCAACTACTCAGGAGGCTGAGACAGGAGAATTGCTTGAACCTAGGAGGCAAAGGTTGCAGTGAGCCAAGATCATGCCACTGCACTCCAGTCTGGGTGACAGAGCGAGACTCTCTCTGAAAAAAAACAAAATTTTTTTTTGTAGAGACAGGGTTTTGATATATTGGCCATGCTGGTCTTGAACTCCTTGGGCTCAAGGGATCCTCCCACCTCAGCCTAACAGAGTGCTAGAATTATAGCGATGAACCAACACACCTGGCTCATAGAACACATTTTGAGAAACATCATTCAAGGGAGAATACAAGAAGTGGCTTGAGATTCAAAACTTACCCAAAGTGATTACCTGCAAATAACTTTCAATGCGTGTGTGTGTGTGTGTGTGTATGAAATTTAAACTGAAAATGACAATTACTTTAGTGATAATTCTGTTTCATCAATCTCTATCTCTAAAACATGCATGCACATGCTTCACATTTCATCAAACCTACATCCTAAAATAACTTTATTGGTCCATCTGGCAAGGTCCCTGATATTTAGGTTATAGGTTGGGGTCTAAATTATATGTGATTCTGTTTACAAAAACTGTAGGAGTGGTTGTATATGTACTTAAATGATAGGCCCATCTTTTTCTCATTAAATTCACATTTTAGCTACTTAAAACACGTGGGCTTTCAAAGAGAACTGTACGGATCAAGAGGCAGATGACTACATAGGACCCCCTCCACCTCCAAGCTCGTATTTCACAAGAGTGATAATCCAGAAATCATCAGGGTATGGAAGGGTGGTGAGTTGTTTCCAGAAGTCTGGAGAGTTCTCAACTCAATTTCAAAAAAAAAGGACATAAACATGAGAACTGCTACCTTTGGAAGGCCACCTGTGGTCATTTAGGATACAGGCCAAGGACTCTGCAATGAGGACTTTTTAAAAAACTTTTTTTTTTTTTTGAGATGGAGTCGCACTCTGTCACCCAGGCTGGAGTGCAGTGGCACAATCTCGGCTCACTGCAACCTCCACCTCCCAGGTTCAAGCGATTATCCTGCCTCAGCCTCCAGAGTAGCTGGGACTACAGGCACATGCCACCACACCCGGCTAATTTTTTGTATTTTTAGTAGAGACAGGGTTTTACCATGTTAGCCAGGATGTCTTGATCTCCTGACCTCAGGTGATCCGCCTGCCTCGGCCTGCCAAAGTGCTGGGATTACAGGCATGATCCACTGGCCTTAAAAAACATTTTAAAATTAATTTAAAAGTTGAACTTTTTTTTTTTTTTTGAGACAGAGTTTTGCTCTTGTTGCCCAGACTGGAGTGCAGTGGTGCAATCTTGGCTTACTGGAACTTCTGTCTCCTGGGTTCCAGTGATTCTCCTGCCTCAGCTTCCCGAGTAGCTGGGATTACAGGCACGCACCACCACACCTGGCTAATTTTTTATAGAGATGGGGTATTACCATATTGGCCAGGCTGGTCTCAAACTTCTGACCTCAGGTGATCCACCTGCTTCGGCCTCCCAAAGTGCTGGGATTACAGGTGTGAACCATTGTGCTGACCTTTTTTCTTTTCTTTTTCTTTCTTTTTTTTTTTTTTTTTTTTTTTTTTTTTTTTGAGACAGGGTCTCACTCTGTTGCCCAGGCTGGAGTGCAGTGTCTTGATCACAACTCACTGCAGCCTTGACCTCCTAGGCTCAAGCCATCCTCCTACCTCAGCCACCCAAGTAGCTGGAACTACAGGTACATGCCACCATACCCGGCTAAGTTCACTCCTTTTTTGTAGAGATGGGGTTTCTCCATGTTGTCCAGGCTGTTGCAATGAGATCTAAGCACGCTTCTTCAAATCAGTCCACTCCACCCCTTGCCTCTCCTATCAGCAAACCCACCCTGGGTAAAATGTCCTTCACTTCTCTATGTAAAATTGGGTACACAAATCACATCATGTAATCATGCTGACATGCGCCCTGCATTTGAAGCCGTATTTGGGTTCAAGGTACACCTCATCTCCTGGCTTAAAAAATAAAAGCAGCTTAGTTTTGGCTTGTGCATTTCTTCCTGTCCTTTCAAATTTGTCAAAGTTACCCCTGAATCAATTAAGTAGGTATTGAAAAATGTAAATAAAAATGAGAAGTGAATTGTTCCTTTGGGTTCATTTTCACATGGCCTGGGAAAAAACCTGAAGAGCCTTTGGGCATGGTGCTAAGTTCCACTCGTCTGTATCTCGTACATTCAATTTGATTAAAGCTAAAAAGCTTTAATTAAAAAACTGTTTAGGCTGGGCGTGGAGGCTCACGCCTGTAATCCCAGCACTTTGGGAGGCTGAGGTGGGTGGATCATCTGAGGTCAAGAGTTCAAGACCAGCCTGGTCAACATGGAGAAACCCTGTCTCTACTAAAAATACAAAAAAATTAGCCGGGTGTGGTGGCACACGGCTGTAATCCCAGCTATGTGGGAGGCTGAGGCAGGAGAATCACTTGAACCTGGGAGGTGGAGGTTGCAGTGAACCGAGATTGTGCCACTGCACTCCAGCCTGGGTAACAAGAGTGAAACTCCATCTTGGGAAAACAAAAAAACTGTTTAAAGAACTCTCAACTAATTTCAGACAACTGGTATTTTTGCCAGCTTGCTAGAATAACTGTCTTGTTTCAACTGTAAAGGTTAACAAACAAAACAAAACAAAAACTTCCCTCACTCTCACACATTTACAAGGTTGATTAATGAATACCCAGTTATTTGGGAACTATCTCAACAGAAGAATTAGTATTTAAAAAATATACTAGGCTGGGCGCGGTGGCTCACGCCTGTAATCCCAGCACTTTGGGAGGCCAAGGTGGGAAGATCACCTGAGGTCGGGAGTTCGAGACCAGCCTGACCAACATGGTGAAACCCTGTCTGTACTAAAAATACAAAATTAGCCGGGCGTGGTGGCACATGCTAATCCCAGGTACTTGGGAGGCTGAGGCAGGAGAATTGCTTGAACCTGGGAGGCGGAGGTTGGGGTGAGCCGAGATCATGCCATTGCACTCCAGCCTGGGAAATAAGAGCAAAAAACTCCGTCTCAAAAAAAAAAAAAAAAAAAAATATATATATATATATATATATATTAGACCTTCGATATAAAATAAAAGAATTATTTACCTGACCCGTCTCTTCAAATCTTTTTCTGTCTGCACTGTCGATTACATATATCTATAAAGGAAAAGAAGAAGGTTATTTCAGTGAGCAGAGATGGAAAAGACAGGGCAATTTCTGCAAAAGGAGCAGGTGATCCCCAATCAGCATATTCCAATTAGCACAACATACAGTAATTCACTGGCGATTCTCATCTCATTTATGAAGGCCAAACAAACAAACACACAAATTAAATAAATAGGGATGCCCAGAAAATACCTTCAGCAACGCTCCAAAGTCTAGGAATTTAGGAAAACCAAGTGGAATAAAATAGCTACATTTAATGGGCACTTGATGTTATCAGTAAACATTACTAGGTCTACTCTATTAACCCTCATTACAACTCTACAATATAGATTTCACTGTTTTCCCTTTTTTTTGAGATGGAGTCTTGCTCTGTCACCCAGGCTGGAGTGCAGGGGTGCGATCTCAGCTCTGGGTTCACGCCACTCTCCTGCCTTAGCCTCCCCAGCAGCTGGGACTACAGGCGCCCACCACTGCGCCTGGCCAATTTTTTTGTATTTTTAGTAGAGACAGGGTTTCACTGTGTTAGCCAGGATGGTCTCGATCTCCTGACTGCATGATCCACCCGCCTCGACCTCCCAAACTGCTGGGATTACAGGAGTGAGCTACCACGCCCAGCCTTTTTTTTTTTTTTTTTTTTTTTTTTTTTGAGACAGAGTCTAGCTCTGTCACCCAGGCTGGAGTGCAGTGGCGCGATCTCGGCTCACTGCAAGCGCCGCCTCCCGGGTTCACGCCATTGTCCATTCTCCTGCCTCAGCCTCCCAAGTAACTGGGACTACAGGCGCCCGCCACCACGCCTGGCTAAGTTTTTGTATTTTTAGTAGAGTCAGGGTTTCACCGTGTTAGCCAGGATGGTCTCGATCTCCTGACTTCATGATCCACCCGCCTCGGCTTCCCAAAGTGCTGGGATTACAGGTGTAAGCCACCGCGCCTGGCCTATTTTTCCATTTTATTCGTAAATAAACATAAGCAGAAAGTCAAGTAATTTGCCCAAATTACATCCGGTACTTGAGAAAACTGGGATTCAAACTCAAGCACGTAAGTCCATAGCTGCTCTTAACCTGTCTGCTATACTGCTTCCCAGATTGTCAGAATGGAAGGGATGGTGTTTTGAGGCATTTATAATCCTATATTCCTCAAATCTCAAAGTACCATTTGCAGCATTAACTATATGCTGACTTCAGGGGCTGATGACAAAGGAGACACAGCTGGGTCAAGATCAAATACTGGAAATAGTAAGGGCACAGTCTTTGCCAGAAGCAAGAAAAGTCTTGAGATTCATCATAAACTACAAATCCCACGATTTCTCCTCATCCCTCAATTTTAGTTACTGCATGAATAACATCCTACAGCAATAAGGGAAATAAGGTAACACACACACACACACATACACACACACACTCACTCACACAAGAAAGAAAGAAAAAAATAAAGAAATAAAGAGAAAGAAAGAAAGAAAGATCACCTATAGTTATACCATCCAAACACATTAACTATTTTAATTTCCTATGGAAAGCTCCCTTTTAATCCTCCTTCATATGAAAACTAAAAAAGAAACAGATATAATTTTGTAGGTATTTTTCATTAAATGATGTATTAATGTTTTCTCACTTGCTAATCTAAAAATTATCAATCTTTCAAACTTTCTTTAAAGAATTTAAAATTGCTATTAGCCTAATGGTATAATGGAAACATTCTCTTTTAAAATAGCATATCCAACTAAAAACACACACAATCTTCAGTTCTCACCATTACATACGTTAAATTATGTAAGTTACAAGCATTTTTTTAACTCAAAGTCAAATTCTGTGCTACACTGAAAATCTGCTCTTTAGGAAAAAAAAAAAAAAAACACAATTAAAATTCCACCACTTAATGCTCTCTATTTAGAGTCACAAATGCTAAATATTATACCAGAAACCAATTTCAGCCATTTCCCTCAAGAATACTCTATATTTTGGCCAGGCGCGGTGGCTCATGCCTGTAATCCCAGCACTTTGGGAGGCCAAGGAGGGCGGATCACCTGAGGTTAAGAGTTTGAGACCAGTCTGACCAACATGGAGAAACCCTGTGTCTACTAAAAATCCAAAATTAGCCTGGTGTGGTGGCGTATACCTATAATCCCAGCTACTTGGGAGGCTGAGGCAGGAGAACCGCTTGAACCTGGGAGGCAGAGGTTGTGGTGAGCTGAGATTGCGCCACTGCACTCCAGCCTGGGCAACAAGAGTGAAACTCCGTCTCAAAAAAAAAAGAAAAAAAAAAAAAAAGAAAAAAAAAAGAATACTCTATGTTTCTACTTGGAGAATCATACGAGGAGAGAGGATGAATATGTTTGGTTTCAATATTTTTGTATGGCATTTTAATTATTGCTCATTATTATTATTGTACTCTGATTCTATGTCAATACATGCACTAATGAGTTCTGCACACCACACACACACCCAACATTCTATGTGTCTGATAAGTCACTCTGCAGAATATGGTGCTTGCTTAGTTTTCCACCAGTGAGGCTCACCTTCTAGAAGTAGCAGGCAGAGTATAAACACAGATGAAGAAAGAAGAAATGCAATGGGAGAGTGAACTTCAAAATAAAAGACCTCATTCAAATTGTTTATAATTATAGTCTATAGTAGCCTAGAATGATTTTCACTCAAGCAATAGTCCAAGAAGATGTGAGGGAAGACCAGGCACAGTGGCTCATGCCTGTAAACCCAGCACTTTGGGAGGCTGAGGTGGGTGGATCACCTGAGGTAAGGAGTTCAAGACCAGCCCGGCCAACATGGAGAAACCCCGTCTCTACTAAAAATACAAAAATTAGCTGGACATGGTGGTGTGCACCTGTAATCCCAGCTACTCGGGAGGCTGAGGCGAGAGAATCGCTTGAACCCAGAAGGTGGAGGCTGCGGTGAGCCGAGCTCACGCCACGGCACTCCAGCTTGGGCGACGGAGTGAAACTCCGTCTCAAAAAATACACACATAGGCCAGGCTCAGTGGCTAAAGCCTGTAATCCCAGCACTTTGGGAGGCTGAGGCGGGCGAATCAGAAGGTCAGGAGATCGAGACCATACTGGCTAACACAGTGAAAAACCATCTCTACTAAAAATACAAAAAATTAGCTGGCGCATGCGCTACTCAGGAGGCTGAGGCAGGAGAATTGCTTGAACCTGGGAGGGAGAGGTTGCAGTGAGCCAAGATCGCACCACCGCACTCCAGCCTGGGTGACAGAGCGAGACTCCGTCTCAAATTAAAAAACAAAAAACAAAAAACATATATTTATGTGAGGGAGGAAAGAAAGATCAGGTCATTGCTACGAGTGTCTGGAGCTCAGAGGGCTGCTTGGTGGCTATGTGCAGGTCATCTGGCAAGAAAAGAATGACAAAGCAGGAGAGAGGTGTGCTGGGGGCAAAGGCTATGAATAAAGGTGAGGGTAGGAAGGAAGAGGCTGAGACAAGGCTGATAATATGGTTAAAGATAGTGGGTGCAGTGGCTCATGCCTGTAATCCCAACACTTTGGAAGGCCAAGGTAGAAGGATTGCTTGAACCCAGGAGTTTGAAACTAGCCTGGGCAACATAGTGAGACCCATCTCTGAAAACAAACAAACAAAATTAGCAAGATGCAGTAGCATGTACCTTGTAGTCTCTGTTACGCAGGAGGCTGAGGCAGGAGGATCCCTTAAGCCCAGGAGATTGAGAGAGTGAGCTATGATCACGCCATTGCACTCCCCTGGGCCACAAAGTGAAACCCCATCTCTCTCTCTTTTTTTTTTATGAGACGGAGTTTTGCTTTTGTTGCCCAGGCTGGAGTGCAATGGTGCGATCTTGGCTCACCCCAACCTCCGTCTCCTGGGGTGAAACCGCAGCTCTTAAAAAAACAAAAAACAAACAAACAAAAAAAACCCAGACGGTTGATATGAAGAAACAGACAGTTGGGAGAGGATGGTGAGAAATGGAAAGATCATTTTATAGTAGACAAGAAAGATGACCAGTCAAATACCAGAGAATCCAGAGGCTGAAGGTCAATGAGAAGAAAGCTTTAATTTGTACTCATAATTATTTGGTATTTATTGCTTTGACATGAAATTTCACTGCAAACATTTCCATTACAAGATTAGAAAGGAGGATTTTCCTAAATTATACACCAATTTTTCCTGTAATTTGGCATTTTCTCAAGTAACTTTTACAAAATGTGAAAATTACTACACAATCATTCTAGGAGTCAATCTATAAAGGAAGCATCCCATTTATTAAGAGCCAAATGAAAAAGTCATAGGCACAAACAAATCTCTGGTGATCCCACAAGTGTGTTTTTCTGCAGCATTATACTTTTTTTTTTTTTTTGAGAAAGAGTCTTGCTCTGTCGTCCAGGCTGGAGTACAATGGGGCGATCTTGGCTCACTGCAACCTCCGCCTCCTGGGTTCAAGCAATTCTCCTGCCTCAGTCTCCTGAGTAGCTGGGACTATAGGTCCGTGCCATCAAACCTGGCTAATTTTTGTATTTTTAGTAGAGACGGGGTTTCACCATGTTGGCCAGGCTGGTCTTGAACTCCTATCCTCAAGTGGTCTGCCCACCTCAGCCTCCCAAAATGCTGGGATTACAACCATGACCTATGGCGCCCGGCCCTGCAGTGGTATACTCTCATCCTGATTGTCGCCTCCCCAGCTCCTCCCAATGTCTCCATGCAATGTCTGTTTCCTTCTGGACAATAGCTAAAGATAAGGATTACCTTTACTTTTTCAAAAAAATAGCATAGCTATTGGTTAACTCAGTCATGTAAAAAATGTAAAAAGGCATTTTTTTGAGACAGAGTTTTGCTCTTGTTGCACAGGCTGGAGTGCAATGGCGTGATCTCAGCTCACTGCAACCTGCGCCTCCTGAGTTCAAGCAATTCTCCTGCCTCAGCCTCTGGAGTTGCTGGGATTACAAGCATGCTCCACCACGCCCAGCTAATTTTGTATTTTTAGTAGAGATGGGGTTTTGCCATGCTGGTCAGGCTG